GAAATAAAGCAAGTACGGGTTACAGCAACAGTTTTTTTTCCTGAACTAGTATTATGAAATGCACAGCCTTATTGTACCTTAAGATTTTTTAGTCTTAAAAATTCAAAAACTTAATTTTTGAATTTTTGAACCTCTACCTATACTTGTAGGTCAAATTTGAGCAATAGAAAGGGGAAATATGGTTTTTTTTTATGAGGAAAACTGTAACTTCATTCTTAGAACTTAAGTAATTACAGTTTACTTTTTAAAAATGTTTTTAATGAATGTTAGATGATGCAATTAGATCTATGGTGAGGAGTAGAGTAGTTTATTGCCATATGTACATGTTTATTGGAATTCTTAATCGTGCTGATCTCTCGGGATATACATAGTGCAAGAGATAGCACCACACCGTGTAGACAACAGGAACAATACATATGTTGTGGAAAAATAAATATGTAGTAGTGAGACCAGACCAAAAACAAACAAGGCAGACCATGCAAAAAGTGTGTAGTACAGATGTGTAGGCACTGCAGTTAGCGATCGAGAATGCGTACTGCAGTGGGATAGAAGCTGTTGAGTCTAGTGGTCTGTGCTTCAGTAGAGCGGTACCGCTTGCCAGAGCACAGGGGGGAAAACAGCTTGTGGCCGGGATGGTTGGGATCCTAAATGATGGCTTGGGCTTTACTGCGACAGCGGATGGTGTGGATTTCACTGATTGATGGTAAATCACATCCTATAATCCTCAGTGACACTGCCTCAACCCTTTGTAGAGCATCTCTTGTCATACATGGCAGTATTGCTGTACCACATAGTGAGACCACTAGTGAGGACATTTTCTATGGTGCTGTGGCAAGAGTTCATGAGGAACTGCATTCCCATGCCACATTTCTTTAAGCACTGCAGAATATGCAGGCGCTGTTGTGCCCTTTTCAGATTTGCTGGGATAGAGCAATTTAAATATGACAAAAGTAGGGTCTCCAGTCACTTCATGACCACTGAAGTGAGTGCCACTGGGCGGTTATTGTTCAAACATGTTACTGTACCTTGGTCTTCTTGTGCAGTGGCACAATTGTAGTTTTCTTAAAGCACAACTGACAGAGAGATAGGTTAAAAATGTCTGTATACACAGGAGATAGCTGGTCTGCACAGGTTTTAAGGACACGAGGGGAGACATCATCTGGGCCAGCTGCTTTATGGGTTTTCACTCTCTACACACCTCATGTTTAGAGAGCTGTAACAAATTTCCCAGGTTCACTGGGAGTCTTGATAGTGGGCTCAGTGTTCTGAGCCTCAAAACAGGAGTTAAAGGTGTTCAGCTTATCTGATAGAGA